ACTCTACACTGCTCAAAACTCGCGTTTGAATCGTCAGTGGCAAATTCTTTATATATAAAAAACGTACTTACAGTCTGTGAGTCAGAACAGCCGGCTTTGTAATCTACTTTACCAGGATCAGGAAACAATCCTCCATAAAATGCGCTGGACACATCGGAATATTTGGGTTGAACGTTCTGGAACAGTGTTGTAAATACAACTTAACCACTGATTTCTAGTCGCGTCCTCTTTTGGAAGGCCAACGAAACAGCGTCACACACAACGGCCTAGAGTGAGCGGAGGCTGGGGGCTAGAGTTAGCGGCGGCCGGCAGCCTAGAGTTAGCAGAGGCCGGCCTGAGTGAGCGGCGGCCAGTGCGCTTGAGAACGGCGCGGCGGGCGGGCTTGCGGCAACCCCATGTGACGACCCCGGGTTGGACTCCGCTTCGTCCACGGTGAAAGCCGATCCGGCGATCCACAGCAAAAAGTTGATGTATTTCCTCAGCGACCAGCACGGATCAGCTCTAGGCATGACAAAGCGGATATGGTCCTCTTTTGGAAGACCAAACAAAGTAGTTTCACTTTCACAACGAAACACACAGCGCTTCCACGACATGGTGGCAGCAACAAAACTACAGCTAGAATAAAAGTTACGCTTTCTCTCTTTGCGTGAATATTTGGGCGGCGTTATGCAAATCTTCCCACATTGTGAGGTAGACATGTGGGGGCGTGTTAGAACGAGCCGTTTTAGGTAGGCGTGGTTGACTCTTAACTTTTATAAAGAATATATCTTTGGATTTGAGACTTTAGTCTTTTGCAACTTTACAGACCTTCTTTATGCACCAAGAGCTTGTAACACTCCAAAGAGAAAGGAAAAATTGAAATCCCCCTTTAATAGGAGCAAAGGAAGCAAAGTGTCCTTACTTTAGCAAAGGAAAACCAGTCTCCTCTTGGCTTATATCGAAATCCTCCGACATTTTTCTTTGCAAATCTTCGGTTTGTACTTCTAATTCGTGACCGGCGTTTTGTTTTGTTGTCTCTCCGCATTCGTCACTAATCACGCAACACCGACATCCTACGTCATCCGCCGGAACTGCTTCAGTGTATGACAGTCAGCAGAAGTGAGAGAAAAGTGTTTATTACGTTTGAAATATGGATATTTTTCTTACAAAAACGCATGGATTTACTACAGAAGGCCTTTATTCACCACTCGGAGCCGTGTGAAGCACGTTTTATTATGAATGCTCGAGCTTTATTTGACGACTTGTGGACTGTTCAACTGCAACACCCGCTGACTGCAATGATAGAGCTTGGAATAGCCAGGACAATTTTTAATATAACTCCGACTGGATTCGTCTGAAAGAAGAAAGTCATATACACCCAGGATGCTTCGAGGGTGAGTAAAACACAAGCCAATTTTCATTTTTGGGTGAACTAACCCTTTAAGCTCACTCAACATGGGTGCTTAAAGAAAAGAAAATGCACTCCACCAGCATTTAAAAAAGTGACAAAAGTGTCATCAAGATGCCATCAAAAGCACAGTGTAAGGTTTAAACATAAAGTGTTTACTTTCTGCATGACTCACGACACCAGCGAGTATTGTGTACAGCACAATATAAATACAGTTTACTTGACTTGTTTGGTGCAAAAATTCTGTGCCATTTTAATGAATGGCTGTTAATGCATCTATTTAGACAAGCACTATTTTATGAGACATGTTATTAAATAGGAAATGCTGAATTTTTTATGTTTTATTTTATTTTAGTTAACATTTATTTTTTTATCAAGTAACAAAATAGTTTTTTTTAATGCCATCAATGTGAGCGGTTCCAATCTCTTTTCCATTGCACTGTGAACAAAAAAGTGGCCAACCAATAAAACTGGCACTTTTTGTTTCAGATCCAGAAATGCTGTTACGTAAACATTGACTTGGTGGAGCTCAAGAACAGACTATTAATACAGTGAATAACCGAAAGAGATCCTGGATTTAGCCAACAAGACTGTTGTATTAGTGAACACACAAATCTTAACATTTGAAACCGTTTGAGTTCCTTCTCCTTTCCCATTAGGCTGAACAGAAAATGCACATGGAAATTAGACCAAATTATCATATGAACATTCATGTCTGTGTGAGCAGGCCTTTACTCTCTTCAGGAAGTCAACTAATGAAGAGTTTACTTATATTCGTCTCTACATTAAGAGGGTATAAAATAAAGTATATTAACTTATGGAAAATGACACACCTTTAAATAATTTAGCCTTAGATACCCAGAAAAAGAATTGAAGTTGTTGGCGATTATATGCAAATTATTCAAATCCACTTCACAGCTGCCTGTCTTCCTTCAGCATTGTCTCTCTCTCTCTCTCTCTCTCTCTCTCTCTCTCTCTCGCTCTCTGTCTCTCACACACAGCTAGAGGATGACATTGTTGCACGGCCAAATTACTTCACCACGATGAAGAATTTCGCCCTGCAGCAGCCGTCAGAGGAGTGGATGATTCTTGAATTCTCCCAGCTGGGCTTCATCGGTGAGTCTTACTCAAACTCAGACTGCGGACTGTGTCTTACACTGCTGTCGGTGTGTGTTATTCTCCCCCTTAGAGCACAGCCAAACTCACACTGAATTCTTCCAAACAGAAAGATCCTTCTCACTGTTACCAGAACACTGTCATAATAGACGTCCAACCTTATAAACCACTTATAAAGCTGGTTCTGTCACCAGAGGTGGATGAACTGTTGAGGTCGCTAATGAAAGACATTTTTTCAATGCTTCATCTTTGTATAGGACTAGAAAGGGATTTTGTTTTCTCTTTGAAACTGATTTGTCACAACCTCTCATAAAGTGCATGTTATATTCCACCAATTTCCAAGAGTCGTGGTGACACAAGAGCCAGACCCAAACCTGACAGTCCTAGAAACAGTCTTTACACACAGATCAGAGAAAATAATGAATTTTTGTTTTGCAGCATTTGTTTTCAACTGATACTGTTTTACCGTATTGCCAATATGCCAGTCTATCCAAAAACAAAACTTTAACTGCATTCACAATCGCATACCGTCTAATGTAAAAGATAAAGTAAAGTGTCAGTCTGTTCTTCAGCGGATGTAGTAGGTCATCTGGGTACTTTTCATCTACTGTTTTATGAATACTGTTAAAGGTGCAGGATGTCATATCTAGCGGTTGAAGTAGGTACTGCAGCCCAAATTCAAAATATTGGAAAGCTTTGTTTCTCCCGCCGCCGCCTCCTCCTCAGACTCAACGCTCATATGAGTTGCAAGATGGAGCAAGGAATGAGCACAACTGACAGTGTTAGTCAACAAGCCTTACAGTGTAAAGTGACAAGTTGTTTTATACATGTTTATTATTCCTCTGGTCATAGATGATTTTTAGGTGGATGCCGAGGCTTTTTACAGTAGGTCGGGTTGAATCTGCAATCTCTGAGCGAGTTCGTTTGCTGGCTTCCATGGCTACAATACGCTTTGTTTTCTGCCAACTGGCAACCCAGAGTGTCGAAATACTATTGGATAAATTGGCAGTGGGCGGAGTCACAGAGACCAAAACAAAAACCGACATTCCGACACAGAACACACATTTCAAAGTAGAATAACTGACTGTAGCATTGTTATTCTGAGAAACAAGTGAACTTAATATGTTTGCAGATGTTTAGAATGGTATTTTTATGCTTTAATACAGTCAAAAAATGACATACAGCACCTTTAAAGGTGCACTATGTAAGACTGACAGCTAACTGTTGAAATGGGTACTGCAGTCCAAATTCTAAATATTTGAGAGAGCCGTATCTCCCGCTTCCTCCTACTCACACTCGACGCTCACGCGGGCTTGCAAGATTGAGGACACGCGACGAGCCTTGCACTGTAATTTGATGAGTTGATTTACTGTGTTTTAATGTTCCTCTGCTCATAGAGCATTGTGCAGTATGTAATATTGCCAGCTAGCGGTTGAAATGGTTACTGCAATTCTGACCTGGAATCTGCCCGAAACGCACATTTCAGAGTAGAATTACTGGCTATAGCATTATTTTTCAGAGAAACAGCTATGTAAACATAACATGTTTCCTAAATATCTACAAACATATTATCTTATTTTTTTAGGCTTAAGAAGAGTCAAAAACTTACATATACAGCACCTTTAATTTTGGGCATACTATGTAATCCACATACTGTTTTTCATAAACTATATGTTAAAAGAAGCATTCGGATGCAGAAATTGTTTTTGTCGAAATAATGTAACGAGAGATTCATGTTTAAAGGGGTAGTTCACCCAAAAATGAAAATTTTATATTTATCTGCTTACCCCCCAGGGCATCCAAGATGTAGGTGACTTTGTTTCTTCAGTAGAACACAAACGAAGATTTTTAACTTAAACCATTGTAGTCTGTCCGAACTGTCCTGAGCGTGTCCTGAGCGTGTTCGCGTCTTCTTCTTCAGCCGGCGCGTGACGCGTCTTCTTCTTGCTTTACGGCAGATCGCAGACTTATAAGTGCATTACCGCCACCTATATCTCAAATGGACCATTGACACTCTATCTACAATCCCAATTAGGAGTGTCAATGGTCCACTTGAAATGTAAGTGAATGGGGCCTGTCTGTAAATATTAAAATGTTCACTGTTTCAATAGTATGTGTTTTCAGATGTAATAATTAGGGGTTGCTCTGACTAATCGACTAGTCGATTTCAGTGCTCTGCCATGACGCTTTAAGCTTGACGTCGACTAGTCGCTGGTCCTATAGAGGGCGCAACAGGATAAGAAATCTTTGAAGGACTTCTACATTTACGCTCCATTTCCGAACAGTTAAAATGACAAATAAATGCATACTCTGGAAGCGCTCCACAAGACATGTGTGATTATACTACTGGATGCTCGAAATTGAATGGGAGAATGCACGTTTTAAACTGCTTATTGTACAGGTAAATTAATCGCTGTTCTAATCTAATGCGCTGCTGCACTGTAACGCACACACATAGGCTACAGACAGTAGCTCGTACATCACGCGCAGATCGCGATCACACAGAATCATTCAGCGCAGAAATGTATTGTGAATGTGAATGTGAACGTGACATGTGGCCAAGTATGGTGACCCATACTAGGAATTAGTGCTCTGCATTTATCCCATCCTTAGTGCACACACACAGCAGTGAACACACACCATGAACACACACCCGGAGCAGTGGGCAGCCATTTATGCTGCGGCGCCCGGGGAGCAGTTGGGGGTTCGGTGCCTTGCTCAAGGGCACCTCAGTCGTGGTTGAAGGTGGGAAAGAGCACTGTACATTCACTCCCCCCCACCTACAATCCCCGCAACCTTTTGGGTTATGAGTCCGATGCTCTAACCATTAGGCCACGAGTTCCCCTTGTCAACACGGTTCTCAATAAAATAGCTTACAAACTGAAAAGTTCAAGCAAATATATATTTCTTAATAACTAAATCACACAGCTTCACTACTAGTAGAGAGACGCTGCCAGGTAGAATTAATTCACACACGCAATTGCTCTCACTAATTCATATAAATATAATAGTGCAACTTTATCTGTATCTGATTTGGAACGAGCAGAAATCTGAGAGAAATATAACGACCCAAAGACAAAAGAACTGATAAAAATGAGCTGTTATAGGAGCAATAGCCATGTGGGCAGCGCCGTGTCATGTGCCATAGCTGTGCACAAGGTGTTTATCACAGCTCCAGACTTACAGTATTTGTTCGTTAATGACGTCATCAGCGACTAGTCGACTTTAAAAAATCAGAAGTCGTTCAACCCCTAGTAATAATAGTTAGCAATATTATGTGTGGCATTTTCACACATTCAGTGTAAAAAAAAACACACACAACAAATTTCCGTGTGAAATACAATAACAATTTTATGGCTTTACAGCTCAAATAAAAGTTTTTACAGAGTAATGAATGTGGGTGCATTTATAAATTATAAGCTTCATATTTCTTTTTTTTTTAATCTTCAGAAAACATCCATTGTTAGCAAATCCATTGTGGTAAAAAAAACAACAAAACGCCAAAGTAAAGTACAACAATTGACAGTATATACATGTTGTTATCACTAAATGACACTACACAGCATGTTATATGGTTTAACATGTTTTTGGCTATATGGTGTGAGTGTGAACACTATTGTCATGAGCCAGGTTTGATCCCTCCTATTATTCTCCGTCATATTTTCCTTCCCTGCTCTCACCTCATGCTCTGCTGTTTGTGATTGCAATCAGCATGGTGTGTATTGGTGTACACCTGTTTTCCCTTGCTCTGATTTCTCTGCTATTTAGGTCATATTCTGTTCTTCACCAGATTATTGTTGGTCGTCGCCTGCCAGTCAAAGCATGTGACTGGAGGACCACACAATCAGCTGCGGTTCTGTGAGAAACAAACTGAAAGTCGCTCATCTAATCAGCTGATCCAGTTTATAAAACTGGTCTGAATAATTCACTCACAAAAGATTGAGTAGTGAATTCTTCAGAGTACCTCCTTTTGTGTTCTGCAGAAGAAAGAAAGTTACACAGGGGTTGCACAACAGGAGAAAATAATTACAAAACTATAGGCAATATTTCTTTAATTGCCCATCCCTGTTCTTTTGGTACATTTTGCCATGCTTTATCCATTTCCTCCATAAGCTTAACTTGGCTAACAGCATCTAAACTCTGAGTAAGTCTTGACAGTCAGTTGGGGTTCAATTAGAGAAACTGGAGTCTGAAACTCTCCCCTCTCCAAATAAAATCTGTGAAGCTCATTTTGAAATGGCAGCCAAAATAATTGCTCTCTTATGATCTGTGTTTGATTTGAAGGCTAATTATGTTGATGATGGTGATCAGTGCTGTGTCAAGCTGGCTGAGGGCCTCAGGGGATGGCATGGGGAAAAGGATTGATTTTGAGAGCTCTCGGTTTAGAGAAGTGGTTATTCACTGCTGGGCTCGCTGTTCTAATCTAATGCGCTGCTGCACTGTAACGCACACACATAGGCTACAGACAGTAGCTCGTACATCACGCGCAGATCGCGATCACACAGAATCATTCAGCGCGGAAATGTATTGTGAATGTGAATGTGAACGTGACATGTGGCCAAGTATGGTGACCCATACTAGGAATTAGTGCTCTGCATTTATCCCATCCTTAGTGCACACACACAGCAGTGAACACACACCATGAACACACACCCGGAGCAGTGGGCAGCCATTTATGCTGCGGCGCCCGGGGAGCAGTTGGGGGTTCGGTGCCTTGCTCAAGGGCACCTCAGTCGTGGTTGAAGGTGGGAAAGAGCACTGTACATTCACTCCCCCCCACCTACAATCCCCGCAACCTTTTGGGTTATGAGTCCGATGCTCTAACCATTAGGCCACGAGTTCCCCTTGTCAACACGGTTCTCAATAAAATAGCTTACAAACTGAAAAGTTCAAGCAAATATATATTTCTTAATAACTAAATCACACAGCTTCACTACTAGTAGAGAGACGCTGCCAGGTAGAATTAATTCACACACGCAATTGCTCTCACTAATTCATAT